TATTATTATTATTATTATTATTATTATTATTATTATTATTATTATTATTATTAACATGCTCTGATGCTAAGGAGTTCTACTCCCCCTCCCCACCTGAGAAGAAATCTCTTCCAAATGCAAAACACAAGCAAAGGAGTTTCAGTTTGACAGCACCAAGCAGCTTTAGTACAGAACAGTTGAGCTAAGCCACGCCCAGGCTCCTTGCTGTCTCCTTCTTGCTCACACAGCAAATACTGGTTCAGTTTCCAAACAGCCCTCAACTCTCTCACACACTGACAGGACGCTAGCCAGATGAATACCGATGGATGCTGGAAGACAGAGGCAGAATTTTTTCTCCCTTTCTTTTCCTCCCCCAAAACTAAGCCTGACCACATAGTTTTGTAGAGAAGCATGGGGATCGAGTTAGTTTATAGATAAATAAAATATGATAACATTATAGTTTTGTATCGCCTCTGCAATCTACCCCAATCTAACCCCCTCCCTGCCTTCCTCTGCCAGTTGGTGACCCGCGGGTGCGAGACCAGGGAACTGACCCTCTTGCGGAACGGCGTTGGCCAGCTGGGTTTCCAAATGGACCACGAAGGGTTTGTAACCGAAGTGGAACGCTTCACCTTTGCGGAAAAAGCCGGGCTCCAGCCTGGGGCCCGACTGGTACGGGTGTGCGAAAGACCCTTGCCCGGCCTGACGCCCCCCCAGACTGCTGAACTCCTGCGGACGGCGAAAAAAGTCACGATCACTGTGGTTCCTCCAGACGAGAACGGAAGGCCTCGAAGGTGAGCAGATCCGTGCCAGTCGGCGGTGGGATTCTACCGGTTTGGGCCGGTTCAAGTGAACCGGTAGTAAAAAAAAAATGCTACCGTTTGGCTGAAGCGATATTTCTTTCTTTTTTTTTCTTTTTCCTCCCAACCACCAGCTGTGCCAGGATCCCCCTCGCTGTCTTATTGCTTTGCCCAGGAGGCCAAAAGGGGCACGCCCCACCTGTGCTCCCATTTTTTTTGCCTTCCTGGGAGTAAAAACGCTCCCTGTCCCGTGTGTGAACTTGCGCCCTCAATTATGTTCACTTTCTTCGGACAGGAGTTTCTCCGAGCTCTACCAGAAATCGCTGCAGGAGAAGCGGAGGAGCGAACCCCCGGTTGGAGACACCGAACTGACCCGGCCAGCCAGCGAAGTGATCTTCAAACCGGCCACCTTTCAGCTCCTCCATTCCTTGTCCCTGCAGGATGGGGCGCCTCACCTCTTGGCTGAAGAGAGGACCGAATTCTTGCAGAGCCACAGCGACCAAACCCCAGCCCCCTCCGACCCGTAAGGAACCCCCGTAAATTTAGTCGCAACTCCTTCGTACACCCCGCCATCACCCATCTTAGCCGAGAGTCCCTGGGCCCTTCCGCCTCTGTCCTTCTTCTCTCTTTTCTGCCTCGTGGTATTTCTGGAGTCGAAAGTGTCTGCGTTCCTATGAAGCTTTTATTTATTTATTTTATTTTTTTATTTAGTTTAGTGTCAACTCATAAAACACCCCTATGCCTGTTTTAGGAGTTGCCATTAAAAAAAGGGGGAGGGGGGAGGAAGGAAATCTGGAAGAGCAGTGCAGCGGTTTGGAAGCGAAAGCACATTCCAACTCTTTATCTTTAAAAGATTGAAACTAAACTACCAGAGATTTTGCCTGCAAATATGATTGGAGAACGTGAATGATGACACCCAGCCTGTGAACGTGCTCAATTGGAGAATCTAGTTTATGAGACACCCAGGACGAGAGGGGGAAACAGGGTCACAGGTGACAGTAAATTATGTATGCCAGAGTTGGCTCCATACAGGGCAGGGCTAGTATGTCGCCTCTAACAAATCCTTTGACGTTTTTTGAAGTTTGGCTCGAGAATCATAATTTAATTAAAGCGATTGCTGGAATCCTGCCATTTAGTTTGTCAAGCATGTATGAGAAAACAAGTATGAACAAGTATAACAAGTATAACAAGTATAAAACAAGTATGAACATAACATGTAAACATATAAGTACCGTATAAACAGGTATAAGTATATATACATAATAAATGGGAACAGTAGGACAGGGACGGTAGGCACACTGGTGCGCTAATGCACACCCTCTTACAGACCTCTTAGGAATGGAGTGAGGCCCACGGTAGACAGTTTAAGGTTAAAGTTTTAGGAGTGTTTGAGGATGTAACAACAGTCAGGTATGAGTTCCAGGTGTTGACCACTCTATTGCTGAAGTCGTATTTTCTGCCATCCAGTTTGGAGGGGTTTACTTTGAGTTTATATCTATTGTTTGCCTGTGTGTTATTGCGCTTGAAGCTGAAATAGTCTTTGACAGGTAGGATGTTGTAGCAGACAATTTTGTGTCAGACCGAAGGCGGCATAGTTCTAAGTTGTCCAGGTCCAAAATTCCAAGCCTGGTGGCGTAAAGTATTCTACTGCAAGCGGAGGAGTGGAGGACTCTTCTCGTGAAATGCCTCTGGACTCACTCAGTTGTATTCATGTCCATTATACAGTGTGGATTCCAGGCAGATGAGCTGTATTCGAGAATTGGTCTGGCGAAGGTTCCCATAATCATTCAGTACTCAGAAGTAAGAATTTATGGAAGAAGTCATAGTGGCACATCTGGGAAAACCTGAATCGGAGAGTTCCGGGTTTCCCCTCGCCAAATGAAAATCACAAACCCATCCCCTGCACCCACCAGCACATCACGTGGCCCAGTCACCCATCGTCCCAACTGGAGACATTCCTCCAGCCACTCCTTTCCAGGTTCAGGGTAACTTGCCCTTGACTCTATGAAAAGAATGTTGTTGACCTAATCTTTCTCCTCTCTATTAAATTGTTAAGAGTGTTTACAGCGTAACTACTATTGTGAGACAACTCAGGAGCAAAACACAGAGACTTTGTCTTTTAACAGTGGTTTATATACAAGACTACTACAGTATATACATACATACATGTGTTAGGCAAATACCAGGCAAGCAATCAATCTTCAACTCTACACAGCTGTTCACACAAGGACTGTTTCTGTTCTAATATTGACAGATTTCCCCTGTGAATTCTGACTCAGTTGATTTCTGCTCCTTATTCCTTCCTTCATAACCAAATACCGTGTTTCTCATAAAATAAGGCCGGGTCTTATATTTTTTTGAGCCCCGAAAAAACGGCTAGGCCGTCTTTTCGGGGGTGACTTAATTCCCCCCCTTGCATCCTCATCTAGAGCACCCCGCGGGCAGCCTCACCCCCAGCCTCTCCTAACGGGTGATCATGGCGAAGCGCAGAGAGCTCCCTACTCCCACCAAATACCTTTGCTGCAGACCCAAGACCTTTGGCACCCGCCGCTGTTGCTTTCCCTTCTGCCCATTCCGCCGCCACGTTTGGAGCTGCCGCTTCTGTGTTTGGAGTGCCGCCGCCATTTGGAGCACCGCCGCCACGCTTGGAGCTGCCACTTCCGCGTTTGGAGCTGCCGCCGTGTTTGGAGTGGCGGCGGCGCTCCAAATGGCGGTGGCAGCTCCAAACAGCAGCAGTGCTCCAAACAGTGGCAGCACTCCAAACGTGGAAGCGGCAGCTCCAAACGCAGCAACAGCTCCAAATGCAGAAGCGGCAGCTCCAAACAGCAGCGGTGCTCCAAACAGCAGTGGTGCTCCAAACGTGGAAGTGGCAGCTCCAAACGCAGCGGCGGCATGGGCAGAAGGGAAATCAACAGCGGCGGGCGCTGAAGGTCTTGGGTCTGCCGCAAAGGTGCTTGGCAGGAGTAGGGAGCTCTCCGCGCTCTGCCATGATCGCCCATTAGGAGCAGCTGGTGGCGAGGAATTGCTGCCCGCGGGGCGCTCCTAACGGCAAGTCCCCCCGCCCTTCCCCCCATTTTGCATGTTTTTAAAAAGGCCTAAATTTGGGGGGAGGGGCTTAATTTCATTTTATGCCTAGAAAACATGCTGGGTCTTCCTATTGGGGGAGGTCGTATTGTTGGAGAAACACGGTATTTCTTGTCTTTGCAGGATTCCACCCAAAACTTTCTCTCTTACCTCCAATCCTCCTCCAGACATAATCTTGGCAACCACTCCCAAAGCCCTCCCGGATCGAGATCTGGTAAGTGTTTCATAGAATTGGGTGTCGAGGGGGGGAACCTCAAAGGCCATTTTGTCTGACCCCATGAGAATGCAGGAAATTCTCAGACCACACCTGTTATGATGACCCGGGGCGTGGCACAAAGGCAACACAGCCAGATAAGCAATAAGAGTCCCTTTATTATCTCCAACTTTGCCCACAATGTCCTGGTTACCTTCTGGCTGGAGAAAAACGCTCCCAGAAACAGCTTTTGGCTGCAGAGAATCAAGTCAAAAACATGAGCAACACAACTGTAACTTAAAATCCAAACAAGCCAAACTGAAGTAATTAGTTTGGCAAAACTCATATAGTTGGGAAGATGCCAGGAACACAGATAAGCCACAACAACACAGGATAAAGTCAGCCTGCCTTTCTTACCAACTGTCTTCCCAGCTGTGGCTAATGAAGGGAATCAGGGCCCTTTCCTTCCCCATAAGCCATGCAACCCACGTTGCTCTCTCCTCCGTTCCTCCCTGCATGCCCTAGGATGAAGAGGGGGTGGGCCTGAGCCTTCCTCTGAATCCCCTCTCCCTTGTTTTACCTCTCCCCTGCTCTGCCCAGCCGGACTTTGCCCTTCCCCAGTTTCCTCCATAGCCAACGGAGCCACACTCCCACTCCCTGTCAGCTGTTCGTCTTCCTCCTCGGATTCAGACTCCGACAGGGGCAGGACACCTGTCCCAAGAGAATCAACCTAGCATGAAGATGCTTATTCCCCTGATAGGCAATTTCTACCGTCACAAAATGGCAATGCAGAGAATCCTCAATGTACCAAAACAACCAGGACCTGAATTTTTGGTCACTTAACCAATTTCTCACTTAACAACAACAAAAAATGGGCTACATTGTGGTCATAAGTTGAGAACGACCTGTATAATCTACCTGGAAGAGCTTGTCAGGAGTAACATTTCCCATGAATCTCGAGACCCAGCTGGGAACTCTGGGCATTGTAGTCCCCACCTTTTTGGGCCGGGGACGATGATGTTGGGGGAGAAACTTGGCTGTTTCTCCAAAATGGCAGATTTCTCTCTGGGCCAAACCATCCACGTCAGATCTAACCTTCCTCTCCTTTCTCCCTTCGTTGCGTTCGCAGGACCATCCGAGAGAGGCGGTAGTGAACCATCACACGCCTGGCCTGGTAGCTCAGGAGGCCAAAGGCTTTCCGTCTTCTCCACCACCGGGAGAGAAGGCCTTGCCGTCTCTGGAAGCGAGCGACAGCAATAAGTTTTTGCCCCGGACGCTTTCGCTACGGAATTCCATCACCAAAAGTAAGGAAGTTCCCACCCCGCCCTCCCTCTCTCTCTCTCTCTCTCTCTCTCTGTGTGTAAAGTGTGGGTGCACAACATGCTACAATGGGGATGTTTGGAGCAGAAGTCAGGATTCTCCAAAGTGGTCGTGTTGAGGATTGATTCCTTCCCCCTCCTTCCTCCTCCATTCCCTTTCCTTCCCTTTCTGTTTCCTTTCTTACTTCCCTTTCTCTGCTTCCCCCCTCCCTCTCTTCCCCTTCCTTCCTCTTCCCCTTCTTTCCTTCCATTCCCTTCTTTCCTTACTCTCGCTCTTCCTTATTCTTCCTCCCTCCCTCTCTTCCTTTTCTTCCTTCCTCTTCCTTTTCCCCTTCCTTCCTTTCTTCTTTTTCCTTCCTTCCTTTCACTCTTCCTTATTCTTCCTTCCTCTCTTCCTTCTTTCTTCCTTCCTCTTCCTTTTCCCCTTCTTTCCTTTCTTCCTTCCCCTTCCTTCCTTACTCTCATTCTTCCTTATTCTTCCTTCCATCCATCCTTACTTCATTCCATCCTCCCTCACTTCCTCTTCTTTCCTTCCTTCCTTCTTCCCTCTCTTCCTCTTCCTTCTCCTTCCTTCTTCTCTCTCCTCCTCTTCCTTTCCCCCTTCCTTCCTTCTATTCTTTCTCTTTCTTTTCCTTCCTTCCTAATCTCCTCCATTTCTCCTTTCCTCTTCCTTCCTTCCTTTTCCCCTACCCCCAAAAGGGGGGAAAGCTCATTGGGGGTCACCCCATCCCTCCCAGCCCAAGTAACTTGGCGGTGAAGGTTTTTCTTCTCCCTTCCTCCCACAGTTCTCTCTGATGCTGGGGAATCCCTGGAAGACGAGTGGGACTCCATCGCCAATCTGGCATCGGCTTGTAACAACATCCTGGAAGCGCTCTCCCACGAAGGTGAGTGGATCGATTCCTGGATGGATCCCTGTGGATTGATGATCTTGGATGAGGTTCGAGCTGCCTTCATCCAGCTTAGCATTCTTTGGCCCTTTAATCTAGAGCAGAGTTTCCTAGCGGCAGCCATTTTATGATGTGTGCTGGCTGGGGAATTCTGGGAGTTGAAGTCCACATGTCTCAAAATGGCTGCCATTGGGAAAACCCAGCCTTCGTGTTTCCAACACAACTTCAAGTAGGAGGGAAAAACATCATCCATCAGAGAAAATCTTATCATTCAAGGCTTTTTCTTGGTTTCCTCTGAGATCTTTTCCTGCTGATTTTTCATTCACCGCCTGGGTGGCATCACAAACTTCAGTCCATGTAGATTTTAATTTTTTTCAAGCTGAGCCTTTTTTCCTGCCTCGTTACTCCCTGGAAATGGCAGAAGTTGGAATTTAGGCTGTTTTTGCTTTGCAAAAAGCAGTTGGTTTCCCTGATAATTGTCATCCTTATTTGTGCCTTGTTGTGTGACTTCAGGCCAGCATATTCTGGAGAATCGAGAAGGCTCCACGGGGACCCAGAGATGCGCCAGTCAGCCACAAGCCATTGATGAGTAAGAAGGAAATGTGTGTGTGTGTGTGTGTTTGTGTGTGTGTGTGAAGCTTGAGATATAACAGGGGGAAATTAAAGAGGGATGGAGACCTTGTCCACCTTGTTTCCTATATGCTGTCCAGAACAGGATTTTCTCAATCTTGGCAGATTTAAGATTAAGTGGACCAACTCTCAGAATTGCCCAGCCAGCTTGATCTAGGATGGAGAGACTAAAACTCCCAGTATTCCCCAGCCAGCGTGATTTAAGACTTGGGGACTTCAACTCCCAGAATTCCTGAGCTAACATGACTGGAGGAGGAGGAATTCTGGGAGTTGAAGTCCACAGGTCTTCAAGCTGTCGAGTTTGAAGACCCCTGATCTACAGTCTGTCTGTCTGTCTGTCTGTCTGTCTGTCTGTCTATCTATCTATCTATCTATCTATCTATCTATCTATCTATCTATCTATCCCTCCCCCCCCTCTCTCCCTCTCTCTGTACCTACCTACCTATTTACCTATCTATCAATCAATCTATCATCTATATATCTATCATCTATCACAAGGGTCTTCAAACTTGGCAAGTTTAAAATGTGTGGACTTCAACTCCCAGAATTCCTCAGCTAACATGACTGGAGGAAGAATTCTGGGAGTTGAAGTCCAGAAGTCTTAAATCTATCGAGCTTGAAGACCCCTGATCTATATCTATCTATCTATCTACCTATCTATCTGCCTACCTACCTATCTATCTGTCTCTCTAATCAATATATCTGTTAATCATCTATCTATACCTATATATCCTCTGTCTCTATAACATCTATAGCTCTGTCTATTTGTATCTGTTTATCTTATATCTATCTATCCTATCTATCTATCATCCGTCTCTAATCAATATCTATAGCTATCTGTTAATCATCTATATCAAGGGTCTTCCAACTTGGCAAGTTGAAGATTTGTGGACTTCAACTCCCAGAATTCCTGAGCTAACATGACTGGAGGAAGAATTCTGGGAGTTGAAGTCCACAAATCTTCAAACTGTCGAGTTTGAAAACCCCATTCTATATCTGTCTGTTTATCTGTCTGTCTGTCTGTCTGTCTATCTATCATCATTTGTCTCTCTAATTAATATATCTGCTAATCATCTATCTATACCTATATATCCTCTGTCTCTAATTTATAACATCTATAGCTCTATCTGTAAGACCCCTGAATTGAAGGCCCCTAAATGAAACCAATGTAACCCTGTTTATTTTTTAAGCACTGCCATCTAGTGGACTCTGTCCTCAACATAACTTTAATATTTTTATTCAATTAATTAATCAAAATTATACCAATAATGTTTTTCCTCCCTGGACAGAAATGTTCCTTTCCAAACAAAAGCTTGGCCTGCAGCCAATCTCCATACGTATTTTGCTGCATTCAGCTCCATGCGGCCGTCTAAGCATCCTGGTGGGGGGGAAATTGGCTTTGTAATACAAGAAGTCCTCGACTTAATGACCACAATTGAGCCCAAAGTTTCTGTTGCTAAGCGAGACATTGGTTAAATGAATTTTGCCCCGTTTTACAACCTTTCTCGCTATGGTCATTAAGTGAATCGCTGCAGTTGATAAGTTAGTAACACGGTCATTAAGTGAATCTGGCTTCCCCCATTGACTTTCCTTGTCAGAAGGGTGCAAAAGATCACGCGGCCTTGGGAACACATCAACAGTCATAAGTATGAACCAGTTTGCCAAGCGTCTGAATTTTGATCACATGATCATGGAGATAAAAGGAGTTCTGGGAGTTGAAGTCCACCGTCGTAAAGCTGCCATAAGTGGCTACCCCTGATTTAGCGACAGGTACTCCTCGACTTACGACCACAGTTGTAGCCCAGAATTTAGGTTGCTAATAGTGAGGCATTGGTTAAGTGAGTTTTGCCCCACTTCGCAACTTTTCTTGCCGCAATTCTTAAGTGAACCACTGCCGTTGTTAAGTTAGGAACATGGTTATTAAGCCAATCTGAATTGAATCTGAATCAGTGATGGTCGCAAAAGGGGATCAAAGGACCCTGGGACTCTGCGACCATCATAAATGTGAATATGTTCCCAAACATCTGAATTTTGATCACATGACCACAGGGGAAATGCTGTAACGGTCAGAAGTGTGAAAAACGGCCGTAAATTGGCTTTTTTCACTGCCGTTTTAACGTCGAATGGTCAGTGAACGAACAGCTATAATTCAGGAGCCTCAGTGGCGCAGTGGTTAGAGTGCAGTATTGCAAGCTACTTCTGCAGCCAGCTGCCTACAGTTTGGCAGTTCAAATCCCACCAGGCTCAAGGTTGACTCAGACTTCCGTCCTTCCAAGGTGGGTAAAATGAGGATCCAGATTGTTGGGGGCAAGAAGCTGACTCTGTAAACCGCTTAGAGGGGGCTGTAAAAGCACTGTAAAGCGCTATATACCGTATATACTCGAGTATAAGTCGACCCGAATATAAGCCGAGGCACCTAATTTTACACAAAAAAAACTGGGAAAACTTATTGACTCGAGTATAAGCCGAGGGTGGGAAATGCAGCAGCTACTGGTAAATTTCAAAAATAAAAATAATTAATTTGGGAAACGATCTCACTATCATGAAAGGTTTAATTGATTCACTAACCCAAAAGAAGAAGATGATGATGACAGCGGGAGGCAGGAGTCACACTCTTCCCCTCCCTCGGAGGCCCCCTGAGTCAGGAGTCACTACCGCCGGCGCGGCCCCAGTCCCGCCGCCTCGGGAAGGGAAAGGCAAAGCGCTTTTTGCCTTTCCCTTCCCGACTGGGGCTGTTGGGAGTCGCTGCCGCCGGAGGCCGCGACTCCACACCATTTTTTTTTTCAGAGGGGAATCTGACTCGAGTATAAGCCGAGGGGGATTTTTTCAGCACAAAAAATGGGCTGAAAAACTAGGCTTATACTCGAGTATATACAGTAAGTCTTAAGTGCTATTGCTATAAATCGAGGATTACCTGTTGCCAGGTTTCCGGCAGTTACCCCCAATTAAATCCTGAGTCTCGAGCCAAACTTCCAAAACTTCAAAATGATTTATTGGGAGTTAACATGCCGACACTGCCTGGGTGTAGCCAACTCTGAGACACATCATTCACTGTCACCCTTGACCCTGGTTTTCCCTCCATTCCCTGGGTGTATCGTAATTCGTATTCTCCAATGGGACACATCCATAGCCCAGAGTCATCAATCGTGCTCTCCAGTTAGATTTTTGTGCAGCAGAAACTTCAGTCCCCTAGTTACTATCTTTGAAAACATTTATGGAATGCACTTTTGATTTCCACGCTGCCTCACTGCTCCCCACTCCCTTTCTGTTGGCAATGCTAAAAAGCCCATAGAAATATTTTATGAGCTGACACCTGTATTGTTTTTCAAGGCAGCCCAGCCCAGAATGGGATAATAAAATCATACCCAAAGGCTCACCCCTGACGGGGAGACGCATTTCCTGGAGTGTGCTTGTTTGTGCACGCCTGGATTGACTCACAATTAACGCGCTGCCCCCAATCTTCTGCTTTCATTTGCCAAACCACTTTCAGGTCTCAGCACGCCCTCAGCCTGGCCGACAAAGTTTTGTACTTGGAGCTCAAACTGAAGGAGCTGCAGGACGATCTTCAGAAGGTGAGAGGACGAGAAACGCAGGCAAGGAAGAGAAGCCCCCCCACCCACCCCCCAAAAAAATATCACGGGGGGGGGGTGTCCTAGGTTTCGAATGAGGAGAGTCAGAGACAGGGAGGACCGCGATTTAAAACAGCCGCGATGTGCAGCAGGATTTTCCGCTGCTAAGCAAAGGGGCTTGTTAATCAACTGGTACCCGATTCTGTGACCTTTTCTCCACCCGCAGTCGTTAAGCGGGTCACTGAAGTTGTTAAAAGCGAATCCAGCTCCCCCGTTGACTTTGGATGTCAGGCGTTGACTGGGAAGCTCCTCAGTGGGCGAGTGACCTTGGGATAGGATGGGATAGAAACAGAATAGAATAGGATTAGGATTAGAAATAGAATAAGGAATAGAATATAGAATAGAATAAGAAATAGAATAGAATAGAATAGAATAGAATAGAATAGAATAGAATAGAATAGAATAGAATAGAATAGAATAATAGAATAGAATAGAATAGAATAGAATAGAATAGAATAGAATAGAATAGAATAAGGATTAAGATTAGAAATAGAATAAGGAATAGGAATAGAATAGAATAAGGATTAGGAATAAAAAAGAGAAATAGAATAGAATAAGGAATAGAAATAGAATAAGGATTAGAAATAGAATAGAATAGAAATTAGAATAGAATAGAATAGAATAGAGAATGGAATAGAATAGAATAGAATATAGAGGATAGAAATAATAGAATAGAATAGGAATAGGAATAGAATAGAATAGGGATTAGGATTAGAAATAGAATAGAAATTAGAATAGAGTAAAATGAAATAGAATGGATTAGGATAGGATAGGATAGGATAGGATAGAACAGAATGAAATAGAGAATGGAATAGAACAGAATAAAATATAGAGGATACAAATAATAGAATAGGAATAGAGTAGAGTAGAATAGAACAGAATGAGAATAGAACAAGAATAGAATTAGAATAATAGAATTAGTAGAAACTGAATGGAATGGAATAATAGAGTAGAATAGAATAGAATAGGAATAGAATAGGAATAGGAATAGAAATAGAAATAGAATAGAATAAGGATTAGGATTAGGATTAGGATTAGAAATAGAACAGAATAGAATAGAATAGAATAGAATAGAATAGAATAGAATAGAATAGAATAGAATAGAATGAAATAGAATGAAATAGAGAATGGAATGGAATAGAATAGAATATAGAGGATAGAAATAATAGAATAGAATAGAATAGTTGGAAGGGACCTTGGAGGTCTTCTAGTCAACCCCCCTGCTGAAGCAGGAGAAACCTATACCATATCAGACAAGTGACAGTCCTGATGGATATGGCAGCTGTTGTAAATAGGTGCCAGTTATCCATATTTTATTGACGTGACCATAGGGATGCTATCACAGCCGTAAGTAAGAGGAATGGCTGTGTGTCATTCCCCCGCCCCCCGCGCTGTTGTAACCCCAAATGGTCATTAAACGAATGGTTACAAGTTGAGACATAGCCAGTTCCTGCAATTAGTGTTTTTGCATCCTGAGACGCAACATAAAACAGGCCACTGCACTTCCTAGGGTGCGGAGTAAAGAGCTGTAATTTTATTTCGTCTGCTGCACCGTTCAAAAGGGTAAAATTGCAACGTCTATAAATTAATACACAAAGGCCCGGCAGACCGATTAAAGGAAGTTTGGTGCTGTGGTCAAGATTTGAGGCCAGAAATGTGAATTTTTAGTCTCGTCCTCAGGGTAGACGCCTCCTGGGTGACTTCGGGCCTGTCTCTCTCGGTCTCTCAGCCCAAGAAAGCCACTTCCGAAAAGTTTGCCACGAAAACGGCAGCGACTCATCCCGACCGCCGCCGAAGGACTCGACGGAGATGCTAAGTGAGCCGGAACATTTGGAGCCATCCTTCCATTGTTAAACAACTTTAATTAAACAGAGCATTCCTCTGTTTAAAAAAAAAAAAAAGCCACTAATTGGGAAATCTTGTCCTTTTCTTTCAAATCTCTTTTTTTTGCAAATCTCCCCAAAGCCTGGTTCTGCTTTTTCCAGACAATTCTGCAGCTTGCCCACACGCAGAGTCATCTCCTGATTGTTATATCTCAGGCACCAATGCTTCACCCTGTCTGGTTTTCTCTGCTTTCATCCAAGAGGGTTTTGTTTATCTTTGAATCATGAAGGGGAAAAATTTCCTCCTGCAGGAGAGGTGAATTCACTCAGCCTGGCACAGTTGTTAGGGCGATCCCGCCCTGGAACAGAAAACCTAGTGTTGCCTTGTGCCAAAGGTGCTTTTTCAATAAGCAACTGGACTTTCTGATTTTTCTTTTGAAGACGTTTTGCTTCTCATCCCAGAAGCTTCTTGGATGGTGGGGGAATGGAAGGATTTATACTCCTTGCAGGCAGCTGGTCATTTGCATCCTTTTTAGTGGGTCGTTGAGGCCGCTTGGAGGTTTACCTGTGTCCTCAGGGTCACCTGAGTAATTCCCAGCAGTTCCAAGAAGTTGCAATACTAGGTAACCCTGAGGACACAGATAAACTTCCAAGTGGCCTCAACGACCCACTAAAAAGGATGCAAATGACCAGCTTGTGTGCAAGGAGTATAAGTCCTTCCATTCCCCACCATCCAGTCAGAGCTGAAGAAGCTTCTTGGATGAGTCTTCAAAGTAAAACCAGACAGTCCAGTTGCCTCTTGGAAAAAAAGCACTTTTGGGATAACTATGACACGGATGGTTGAGAATCTCCATAGACATCTAGTTTCGTCTTCCTGTGTCACAATATGAAATAGATGTTGAGATACTAGAAAGAGTGCAGAGAAGAACAACGAAGATGATTAGAAGACTGGGGACAAAAACATACGAAGAAAGGTTGCAGGAATTGAGTATGTCTAGTCTTAACAAAGAGAAGGACTAGGGGTGACACGATAGCTGTCTTCCCATATTTGAGGGGCTGCCACAAAGATAAGGGGGGCAACCTAATTTCCAAAGCCCCCAGAAGGCAGGACAAGAAGCAACGGATGGAAACTAATCAAGGAGAGAAGCAACCTGGAATTAAGGGGGAGCTTCGTAACAGTGAAAACAGTTAACCAGTGGAACTGCTTGCCACCAGATATTGTTGGAGCTCCCTCATTGGAGGCTTTCCAGAAGAGACCGGAAAGACACTTGTCTGTAATAGAGGCCTCTTGTTTGAGAAGGGAGGGTTGGACTAGAAGACCTCCAAGGTCCCTTCCAGCTGTGATCAACAAAGGGGAAAGGAAAAGAGGGAGGTGGGTGAGGCCTGCACCCCCCTCCCAATTTGGGGAAGTTCTGAAGTTATCTTAGAGTTGCCAAGGTAGAGAAACACTGGCCTATGTCATCATCCCAATTGGCATTTGCATGTCTGAACTGAGCCCAAGAGAGCTTAAAATAGTTGCATAGAAGAATAGATAAGTCATAAACTGCAGGAATTTGTCTAGACTGTCACCAGGAATTTAAAAAAAAATGGCTTGAAGGCACACACACACACACACACACACACACACACACACACACACACACACACACAAATAAATATACGAACAATCCTAAACTTGCTTTCACACTTTGGGGATTCCCAATATCTTGATCTGCATGGATACTTAGAAATGAGGTTTGGGAGATATAACTTGAATGCAGTAGGAATGACTTGCATAAAATATTAGTGCAAAAATAAATCAGAGCCAGATATGAAAGGGCCCCAAAGGCAGAATGTGACCCATATCAAGAAAAACATTTAAAAAAAAAGTGATTGGGAGTTTTGCAGAGAGAGACACAAAAATTGACTCACAAAATAAGCACAGGCCTGTGGTCCGAAGTCGGGGAAGGCAGAGGAAGTTGCGGTTGGCTGGAGTTGCAGGGTTGCAGAGTTGCAGGGTTCCTGGGAAAAGAGAAGGCAGGAATTAAAGGACCAAGAGAAAATAAATATATCAATATAAATAAAGCAGAATATGGACGTAATACAGGCTGGAGGAACCCAAAGTTTGTATAAACTGATTTTATCTCTGCTTATTTTATTTTGCTTTTAGTCTCAGGCATTTAAGAAATGGCCATGGCAACGTTTCTCCATCTTAGTAACATTGAGATACCTGGACTTCAACTCCCAGAATTCCCTGGCCAGCATGGATTCTGGGAGTTGGAGTCTCCATGTCTTCAAGTTGCAAGTCTGAGAAACACTGCTGTGAAATAAATGAGTAGTTTTTCCTTTTTTCCTCCCTCCCTCCTTTCTTTTTTTCTCTATCCTCCTTTTGTTACTTTCTCCATCCCTCACTCTTTTTTCGCTTCCTTCCTTCCTCCTCCCCATCCCAATTTATCCTTCCTTCCAACCTCCCTCCCTCCTTTCCTTCCAACCTATTTCCCCTCCTTTCCTTCCTTCCCTTCCTCCCAATTTCTCCTTCCTTCCTTCCACCCTCCCTCCCTCCTGCCAATCTATTTCTCCTCCCTCCCTCTGAACCTATTTCTCCTTCCTTCCTTTTCTTTCTTCTCCTTTTTCCCTCCCTCCCTCCCTTCATGGCTAGCTGGGGAATTCTGGGATTTGAAGTCTACAGTTGCTAAGGTTGAAAAATGCAGTTCTCTGCCATCGTCCATTTGAATGTTTTTGGCTGATTATTTATGTACCCCATGTTGGAGCTTGCCCCAGAAAAGGAATGACACACCTGGGTGTGCGTGTAAATAAAATTTTAGGGAATGCATAAATTCTTTTCACCCGAAAATTCTGGATCCAGAATTCTTGGATCTTAATCCAAGATCACTTCGGCTGCCCTGGGTGTCTTAGTTTTTCTGCCTTTATTCTGCTGGCTCAGTGAATACCTCGGTGGCAGACGGCCAGCAGGCGAGCATCCCAAAACAAGGAAAACATTTCAACACAAAACCAAACTGAAAACCTAACAGTGGGGAAGAGGGGGAAAAAAAAAAAAAAAGCAACGGCCTCGGTCTGATTTGCAAATGCAAATGCAAAAAAAAAAATAAAAAATAGAGAGAGAGAGAGACAAGGGAAAAACAGAAAGACGTCAATGCAAAAAAATCTGCCAGGAAATAAGATTATTTTGGTTCTGGAAGAGAAAAACCAGGAGAAAGAAAATTCAGGGTGTGGTTCAAAAAAAGAAGCTTGTCGTTTATCCATTTTCCTTTGGTCGGCTTTAAGCTTTGCATGTCAGCCTTTGTTGCTGACCTGGGGAAGGATACGGGGGAGGGGAGTGTTTAAGTGACAGAGCCCCTCCGGATGATGTCATTAAAGTAGGCGGAGTCACAAATCCCGGGACCCCCCCCCCCAATAAATCACAACAGCAAATTAATTCCATTCCTAATACGGTTTTGCGTGGGATACGTGCAAACAGTAGGTCTTTATTTTCTGTATACAAATATACGTCGTGTATTTACGCAGTCCTATACAGAACAGCCATTCGTTTAGTGACCGTTCAAAGTTACAACGGCACTGAAAATAGCGACTTACGGCCGTTTTTTCCACCACTGTTACAGCGTCCCCGCAGTCCCGTCAAAATTCAGACACTTGGTAAACTGGCTTGTATTTATGACGGACGCAGTGTCCTAGGAGGTGATCCCCTTTTGCGACCTAATGGGGAAGCCAGGTTCACTTAGCAACCATGTTTCTAATTTAACAACTTCAGTGATTCACTTAACAACAGTGGCAAGGAAGGTCATAAAACGGAGCAAAACTCACTTCACAAATGTCTCATTTAGCAACTTAAATTTGGGATACAATTGCGGCTGGAAGTTGAGGACTACCTGTAATGTATTTGATCTTAATCCACGCAATACTAGAGTCCGTGCTGGGCCATTGTGATAATTTTTCGTTATTGCTCTTTGTTTTCTAGAGTCCGTGTTGTCACTCCAAAAAGTTTGGGGTCATCTCGGGTTATCTCATTATCTCATAAACATGCCTTTCTCCTTTTTTGTGAATATTTTTTGTAAATAGTTCCTAAAATAGTCTCAGGTTTCCAGGCTGTTTGGATGCTGAACTTGGCATGGGCTATTTAGAGATTGGGACTCGTGTCTGGTTAAAATCAGCTTAAAATCAGAGAGAGAGAGGGAGAGAGAGAGAAGGAAAGAGTGAGGGAGAGTGAGAGATGGAAAGAGAAGAAATGAAGGAAGGAGAGAATGAGGGAGAAGGAAGGAAGGGAGGAAAGAATGAGGGAGGAAGGGAGAAAAGGAAAGAGGGAGGGAGAATGGTGAGGGAGAAAGAAAAGGAAGGAAGGAAAGGAGAATGATGAAGGATGCTGAGAAAGGAACAAAGGAAGGAAAGAGAAAACGGGAGAGAGGGAGAAGGAAGTGAAGGAAGGAGAAAGATGGGGAGAAAAAAGGAATGAGGGAGGGAGGGAGAATGGAGAATGAAGGAGAAAAAAGGAAAGGAGAATGATGAGAGATGGGGAGAGAAAGGAACAAAGGAAGGAAAGTAAAAAAGGATGGAGAATGGAGAATGGAGATGGAGAGAAAAAAGGAAGGAGAGAAGGAGAATGGAGAGTCAGAAAGAAGGAAGGAAACTAAACAAAGAAGAGGGATGGAGAAAGAAACGAAGGAGAGAGAAAAAAGGAAGGAGGGAGGAAAAAAGAAAAAACTTCATTTATTTCCAAGCCGTGTTTCTCAACCTCGCAACTCAAAAGAGATGCCGACTTCAATTCCCAGAATCCCTGCTGCCTGGGGAATTCTGGGAGTTGCAGTCTACCCATCTTAAAAGTTTGAATTGAACAAAAACACGGCGCAAACTCCCCATTTTTTTCAGTGCGCGGTTTTCCTAGTTAGGGCAACTTACTTTGTCACCCGGTTTAAGCCGGGACCATAGCCAGGATGAGGAGCCCCAAGGCTGGGGGGCCAGTGAATGACGAAGCCCCTTCCCCACCTGATCCCCTTTCTGACCTCCTTCCCCCCCCCTTTTTTTTTTGCAGGAAAAAGCCGAAAAGGCGGCTCTCCAAGCCGAAATGCAAACCCTCCAGCAGAACACCAAGCGACTGAAAGAGGCGTCGGAGACGGCCGCGGCCCAACTCAGCCAAGTCACCCAGATGTTGGGGGGAGGTTCCTCTGGCCCCCACTGCCCGTGAGGAGGAGGGGGGAACACCCTCTGCCCCTCCACGGCCAGCCACCCTCCTTGCTTGGCCCAGCCCTGGACGGCTCCACCCGATTTTTCCTCCCTCAGGAGGGGGGAGGGAAAAGGGCACCCCCAGGAGATCCAAGAATCCGAGGGTGGTTTGTTGCGGGGAAACAAAACCGCCACTCGCAAAGCCTTGCCTCACTCTGGAAGTTCAGCCCTCCCCGTTTTTTTGAGAGGGGAGGGAGGGGGCTGCTGCCTTTCCCCCCCCCCACCCCCCCAAAGGTGGCGCCGGCGGGGGGGTGGTTGGATAATTGAACGAGAAAAAGACCCCAACGTGGCTGGTCGGCATAAAATTGACAGTTTGGAGTCCCATTGCTCCACCTCCGCCTCCTCGAAGGGCGCCTGGTTTTTGCCCCGTCCTCAGGTTCAGCTGGGCGTGAATTTGAACTCGGGTTCGAAGGGCCCCCCCTCCCCAAAAAGGGGAGGTGGGGGGCAGAGAAGAAGGGCCACCTGGGATTCCAGCCTGCCTTTTCACCTTCTTCCTGGAAGTTGCAAAATTCAGCCACGGATATATATATATATTTTTGGGAGGTGGGGTGCAGGGGTCCCTGCTGAGCCCTCCTGGAGAAGAGCCCCCCCCTCCGGGGTCTTCAGTGGGGGGGGGAGAAAGGAGGGCAGGTGGGGCAAAAAAACCCAATAAAATGCAATAATTGCAAATGGCTTCCAGGCAGGGGGAGTTAACTCAAGTCTTCTTGGAGTTTAATCTTCCCTTTCTCCCCTCCATTCCCACCGCACTGTCTTGGATGGCACAGCGTGCTTCCGGTTCAATTTACTGTGAATTATTATTATTTTTTGAAAGCTGTGATAGGACTAACCTCCTCCTACCCTCCCAAATATATATATATATATCTATATATCTTCTGAGTTGTCCTGTCCGGTCCTTCCTTTCACCTGTACACCTTAACCTGTAGAGGTTCCTGTAGAATGGGGCGGGGTTTGCTCCTGATTTCGTCTTCCCAGCATCGGCCCCCACCCCAAAATGGTGCTATCCAGGACTTAGATTTCCATTCCTCTTTGTTCCCATCCCCCAATCCAATTGGGAGTGGGGCCACTTTCTGGAGCTCTTCTGTGTCTCTTGTAGTCTGTCCGTCTTTCCTTCCTCCCCTTTTTTTCTCTTCTATTTATTTTCCTTTGCCTCCCTTTTCCTTCCTTCCCTCTTTCATTCCTTCAGTATTTTGTTTTTTCCTTCCCTCTCCTCCCTCCCTCCCTTTCATTCCTTCCCTATTTCCTTCCTTTCCTCCCTTCGTACATTCACTATTTCTTTCCTTCCCTCTCCTCTCTTCCTCCCTTCTTTCATTCACTATTTCCTTCCTCCACCCTTCCCTTCCTTCTTTCATTCACTATTTCCTTCCTTCCCTCTCCTTCCTTTCCTCTCCTCTCTCCTTTCCTTCTTTCATTCACTACTTCCTTCCCCTCTCTGTTCTTTTCTGCTCCCTCCCTCCCCTCCAACTTCTTCACTCCTTCTCCTCTCTTCCGTTCCTTCCCTCCCTCTTCCCCCCCTCCCCCTTCTTCTCCCCCCCTCCTCTTTCCCTCCTTCCTTCCCTCCCTCCCCTCCAACTTCTTCACCACTCCTTCTCTCTTTCCTTCCCTCCCTCCCTCCCATCCAACTTCTTCACCACTCCTTCTCTCCTTCCTTCCTTCCTTCCTTCCTTCCTTCCTTCCTTCCTTCCTTCCTTCCTTCCTTCCTTCCCTCCCTCCAACTTCTTTACCACTCCTTCTTCTTTCCTTCCCTCCCTCCTTCCCTTCCTCCCCTCCAACTTCTTCATCATTCCTTCTCTCCTTCCTTCCTTCCTTCCCAACTGTAGTAAAGGAAGGCGTGTGAATTCCTTGTCTGGCCTTTGCCAAGGGCTGCATTTGAACTGAATGTACAGATTCCCCCCCCCCCTCTTTGTGCAATAAAAAGTCTTCACAGCTCCACTTTGGGCTCTCTTTTCATCTTTTGGGGGACCCCGGAATCAAGGGGGGGGAGGAGGCCGGGGGTGGTGGTATGTGGTTCAATCCAGGGAGGGCAAAGGAAACCAGGACTAACCAACAATGGTTAAGAGTTGTAACTTTGTGATCGTAAGTAAGTCGAGGGCTCCCTGTGATAGAACTCCATTGCTGGCAGCCCAACTCCAACCCCTTAATTTGGGATTTTTCCTCCTTTCTTTGCTGCTCTGGAGGAATCAAATGCAGGTTTCCTCTCTAAAATGCATTTTGATTGCGGGGTCAACAGAGCAACGCCCAGAATCGTTCCCGTCTTCAGGATTTTCATAGGGAAAAGAAGTGGGGGAAGTGGGGCAGGGGACATAGAGCAGAATTCCAGTATTTGAGGGGGCTGCCCCAAAGAAGGAGGGGGGGGTCAACCTATTCTCCAAAGGCAGGACAGGAAGCAACGGATGGAAACTAACCAGGGGTGGGAAACTAACCAGCCGGTTCGGCCTAACCGGATGTTAAATTGGCATTTGGTTCGCCAAACCAGTAGTTGAACCGACTGGCTGGCCCCGCCCAGGAGTCTCCAGGCGGCCTGTTTTGGATGCAGGTAAGTGCAGGCTCCGCGTGAAAAGGCTCTTGAGAGGGCGAAAAACCAGGCCGAATCGGAAGTGGGCCTGTTTCTGGCTTCCGGAGCCCGGGGGAGGCCATTTTTTCCCCCTTCCACCCCCCAGAGGCCTGAGGGAAGCCTCCGGACTCTGGGGAAGGCAAAAAACAGCCCTCCCGGGAGTTCTGGCAGGCCACGCCCATCATGGCCACGCCCACCCAGCAATTTTTGACTCCCACCCCTGAAACTAAGCAAGGAGAGAAGCAACCCGGAACTAAGAAGAAACGCAGGGAGCAAAATTAGCCAGTGGAACAGCCTGCCACCAGAAGTTGTGGCTGCTCCGTCGCTGGAGGATTTTAAGAAGAGATTGGGCAGTCAACTTGTCTGAAATGGTATAGGGTCTCCTGGGCTGGACTAGAAGACCTCCAAGGTCCCTTCCAACTATTCTACTCTAGCTTAATGAAAAGAAGAACTAGGGGGTGACATGATAACAATCTTCCACTATTTGAGTGGCTGTCCCAGAGAAGAGAGGGTCAATTTATTCTCCAAAGCATTTGAAAGCAGGACAGGAAGCAACGGATGGAAACTCTTCAAGGAGAGAAGCCACCCAGAACTAAGAAGAAATTTCCTGACAGCGAGAGAACAATTACCCAGTGGAACTGCTAATTGTGAATACTCCATCACTGGAGGTTTTAAGAAGAGGCTGGACAGCCATTGGTCTGAAATGATCTAGGGCCGTGATGGCGAACTGATGGCACACGAGCTGCAGGCAAACACTGCGCATGTGCGCGCCTCACAGCTGATTTTTGGCTGGTTTGAGGCCTTTTTCGGCCTTCCAGAGGCTTGAGGAAGGCTTCTGCAGGCTTTTCAGGACGAAAACTAGGCCCGTTTCATCATTTCCTGTTTTTCTGGAAATACTGGAAGTGATGAAACGGGCCTGGCTTTTGGCCTGCAGAAGCCTTCCTAAAGCCTCTGGGAGGCCGAAAAAGGCCTCAAACCAGCCCAAAACCCAGCTGTGAGGCGCAGCAGCGCAGGTAAGGGGTCGGTAGGGGTTGGGGGTCAGTGGGGATTGCGCACGCATGTGTAGGGAGCATGGGGAGGCGCGCATTGCCTTCTCTGGGTGCTGGCACGTGAGCGCGAGCATGTAAGCCCGCGCACCATTTTTGCCACAGGAGCCCCAAAAGGTTCGCCACCATTGGTCTATAGGGTTTCCTGCTTGAAGACCTTTAAGGTTCCTCCCAGTTCTATTCTGATTCGGATTCGGTTCCCTTTGCAAGAAATCCATCTGGAAAGACGATCAGCCCGGCTGTCCCACACACACACACACACACACACCTCCCTTCCTCCTCGTGTGTGGGGCCCAGAGCCCCTCCTCAGATCCCTCCCCATCCCAGTATTCCAGCTTTGGCAACCTCCCTGGGATTTTGCTTCGCAGGGCAGGCAACGCAGATCTTGGTTTGTTAGACTCGCCGGCCTGCTATGTACTTAGCGGTTGGGTTTGGCCATATAATTAAGTGGGCTCAACCTTCTTCGGCTTGGCTGAGCCTTTGTCCCGCTGGCTCCCTTCCTTTCCCCGGCCTTCCCCATCTCCTGCGGCAAAGATTCTCTCAGATTCTCTCAGATAATCAAGAGCCAGAAGGGACCTTGCAGGTCATCTAGTCCAACTCCCCTCCCCACACACACACACCTAAGCAGGAGACCCTATACCATTTATTGTGGGGATCCTCCCAACACTGGAAGGTTTTTTCCAGAAGAGTTCAGACAAGCTGTGTGTCTGCCACGACCACAACGGAGGCCCACCTTTACTCTTTGCAGCCATAAGTCGAGGACTAGCTGTATTTGGCAAGGGGCAGCAAGCTGGCTTTCTGATCTCTTCGTTCTTTTGCAGGCATTCTGTAATTTCTGACTTCGAAAGGCCTCCTTTTGCAGACAGAAAAACACCCAGATCTGGGCATGAGGAAGAAAAAAAAAACACCTTATTTTTAAGTTTTCCAAAGTTGGCAATAGTTTTAAGAAAAAAAGAAAAAAAGAAAAAGAAAATTGGGGGCTGCTTTTCTGCTGAAGGAAGCGGACCGAGCAAAACGCCGGGACGGGATTGAAGTGGCTATCCTTTTACAGGCGTTTCCTACCGACCAGGAAATCGGCCCCGATGGCAGAAATGGGAGGGAACCTGGTTTGTGGTTTAGGGATGGGTGCCCAGCTACGGCTGGACTTCCCGGAATGTCAGGGTTGGTCCAAAGCTGGAACAGCACAGTTGAAAACAGCACACCTTGTTGCAGCTTGTTTGTCCCTCTTTCTTTCTTTCTTTCTTTCTTTCTTTCTTTCTTTCTTTCTTTCTTTCTTTCTTTCTTTCTTTCTTTCTTTCTTTCTTTCTTTCT